CAACTGTCTTTTACTCTGTATACCTATGAGGGGTGTTCAAGTTAAACTGGGACTTTTGAGTTTATATAGTACAAGAACAAATTTCATGAAGTGCAAACTGCATTTATTTTTCCACATACTTCATTTGTACACTTATCCCAGCGTTTAACTAATGCCTGGAAAGCTTTGGCATAGAAATATTTGTCAGTGTGCCTGATAAATATTCACAGTGTTCACCATTTCTACAGAAAGATTCATCTCTTGTGCACGTTTACGACAGGTCATGCATCGGTTATCCAGGATCAGGCGTTCCATGCACTGAATGGTCACAGGAATGACTGCTGTGGGCTGGGAACCACCATGACTGGGATTTTCACTGACGGATGTACGGCCATCTTTGAAATGTTTACAGCATTCAAATGTCTTAGGCTAGGTTCGCACCAATGCAGTTTGCATTTGATCCATTTCTGCAGTGCGTTTTGTGGTGCATTTTGCATATGCGTTTTTGATGCATTTTGTGTTTTTTTTTAAAACTTGTTGCTGAGTAGGTTAAAAAGCAAAATGCATCAAAAACGCACTACATGCTTTTCTGCAGCGTCCCCATTGAAGTCTATAGAACCAAAAATGCAACAGTTTGCGTTTAAAAAAAGTCTCTGACCCTTTCCAAAATATGCACTGAGTGAAAACGCGGACATGTGAACCTGTCCCAATTAGCCTGTTGTATGTTTCTGCAAAAGAACATAAAACACATAGGTGTGAACCTAGAATTACTGCGGCTGAGCGTCTCATCACCGTACTGTGCTTGAAGTCTTCTGTAGATATCCGTGGGTTTTATGCCTTTGTTCACAAGAAACTTCATCACCACACGCTGTTCCATGCACATACTAACACTGTTGTCTGCCATCTTAATTAACGGTCTCTGGACTGGCCCATGACATGTGCACCACCTATCAGTAATAGGACACACTTAGTACTGTGTGTAGTACCGCCATACTGGTATCACTTTTTATACCTGCAAAATTCAAAGTCCTGGTTTGACTTGAACGACCCTTGTATATTCTACAAATTATGGCCATGTGCAAGAGCCCTTATAATAAAATGACCCAGGGTGCATCAATGTCAAGTAACTTTTACTTAAATGCACAGATGTTTTACACTTTTAAAATTGTAACTGTTTTTCCTATTTTCACTTTAGAGATTAAATGCTTTAGCTGGGCTTGTCCGAGGCCATCTTCCTACTTTGCATAGAAATATTATAACTGCACTAATAACAATTGATGTACATGCAAGAGACATTGTCAGTGACCTTGTAAAGGACCAGGTAATGCAACCCTTTGTCATAAATGCATGACTCATCCAATTTCTTATATGAATATGTGTAGGTTTTCAAAAGCAATACCTGTAGCAAATTTATTTTACAATAATAAGCAAATTATTATTATTATAGTACAAAGTTTATATTACTTTTCACAGCCGCTTTACAATCTAAAGGGAGACAGTTTACAATCTAAAGGGAGAGAGTTAAGAAAGCCCTGCGCATAAAAGCTTACAATCTAATAGGGTGGGACAAGTGGTACAAAAGGTAATAACTGTGAGGGATGAGCTGATGGAAGAATTAAAAGTATATCTGGAATCTGGAGGGAATATCTGATTGCATCTCGGGGGATCAGGAAGGCGATTTTTTCCTTGCAGGAGCAAATTGGATCATGCTTTGCTGGGCTTTTTTGCCTTCCTCTGGATCAACAGTGGATGTAGGATTATAACTTTTTTTTTAATGGTTGAACTGGATGGACTTTTGTCTTTTTTTGACCTGACTAACTATGTAACTATTTGTATTAAAAGCAGGAGGTCATGAAAGGAGTGCAGAGGACGGTTTGGGTGATATTTGGAGACAAGATTCGTAAAGTAGCTTGGGGAAAGGTTGTCAATGGCTTTGCATGTTGTTAGTATTTTGAATTTAATTTGCTGGGCAATGGGAAACTAGTGGAGAGATTGGCAGAAACTAAGCAGTTGGTAAGACTGGTCATGATAGACTGAAGAGGGGTAGCCTATGGAGAGGTAGGCCAATGAGAAGGGAGTTGCTATAGTCAAGGCGAGAGATAACAAAAGAGTGAATGAGTAGCTTGTACTTTCATTACCTAAAAAGGGGGCCACTTTTAGAGATTTTACAGAGGTGTAGTCTGCAAGCTTTTGACAGTATTCAGATTTGGGGCTGAAAGGACAGGTCAGAGTCTAAGATAACACCTAGTACCCTGCCTGAGTGGAGGGACTGATAATTGTATTATTGATCTTGATGGAAAAGTCATGAAGGGGGCATTAGTGGGGGGGCAATATTACCAGCTTGGCTTTATAGTGACAAGATATCTGTAGGGCTGTTATTCTAATCAATGTTTGTATTATTTTTTTTCTCTCCCTCTCTTTCTCTATTTAACTTACTGTATAATATCCTTAATTTATTGTACAACAGATCTACCCTTTCAGTTTATGCTCCTTGTGCCTGCCACAATAGTAAGCCTGAAAAAAGTGAGCTATGTGCTGTATTTATCTGGAAAAAGCAAAATCTGTCCATATTTATTTTTTTTCTTCATTAACATAAATAATTTTATGGGAACAATTGAGGGATGAGGGACTTAAATGCATTTTGTGTATCACTGCTGACAAGACAGTTTTGTTTATTGATCTGAGTCAATGGCTTGAGACGTGGGACCTTCATAGTAAAACAGGAAGTCACTAAGCAAGTTTTATGTGATGGATATGACAGTCAAAAAGGCCAGACGATGACATCTAATTGCATATACAGCACATCGTAAGATTGCAGGTTTTCAGATATACACCAGTGCAAAGATGCATTAGCTAAAACGCAGTTTGCCCAGTAAGCAGAATAACTAATATGAAAGAGTTAAATGAAATAACAAAATATATAAAACAGTAGTTGTAATGGATGTGCCATTTTCAAAACAGGGTATATAGAGGTAAAACATTGAAACAAACTGCTTTATGATGACATTTACTTACACAAATCTGACCCAATATTTCCTTTCAGATAAAGTTAAAGGTTTTTTTTTTGTGTTATATAATTTTGTTTTTGTTTTTTGTTTTTTAAATTTAGGTTAGCAGCATTGACAGCTTTGAGTGGCAGAGACAGTTGCGCTATTATTGGGACCTTGATCTGGATAATTGTGTGGCCCGGATGGCTTTGTCTCAGTACACCTATGCTTATGAATACCTTGGTGCTTGTCCTCGACTGGTGATCACGCCCCTGACTGTGAGAATATTTTCCTAAGTTGTACAGTTCTAGGCTGTCATTTAAAAGGTGTACTGATTAAAAGTGCTGTGTACATTAAAGTAGTTGTAAACCTTTACACATACCCGGTTAAGTGAACTCAGGTGATAAACAGAGATGAAGCAAATCTTTCTATATAAGTTGTACCTGTTTTTCTGTGTTTTCTCTTCTCCACATCCTTTCAAAGTCCAGAATTTATAAAGCGTGTCTGAGCTTTCAGAAAAAAGGGAGAGAAGACATGAAATTACAGTCTGCAGAACTCAGTGAGAAGAGCTCTGAGAGTTGATTTGAGGGAAGAAACACCCTCCCCATTTCACACAGCACACAGGAACAGAGCTGAGACTGTCAATCACATGCTGTGTGCTGTAGGTCCCTCCTCTGACACCTTTTTGTTGGTGTCAGGAAAAAAAGAAAATCAAGGTCCCCTGGTGAAACATACAAATTTCAGCCCAGAGCTTTAGTGCTCTGGATTAAGACAAGTACACACTATAGATGGATATGCTTGGTTCATATTTCATGTCTAAGGTTTACAACCGCTTTAAAACAAATTGTTTTAGACTTAAGGCTAATAACTAAATACACCGAAAAAATACACATATGGGAGTTTTTTCCGTGTCAAAGGATTTGTATATTTGTCTATCCAGGTCTGAAATTTAAGGCAAATTTAAAGTCAATATGTGAAATTATCTTAATCCTCCTAAAAGTCAGATGTCAGTGGATGTTTGCTTAGGCCATAGGTAACATGTATCAGCTGAGTAACATTATTTTATTCATACCAACAAAGAAATAAATGTTTTTTTAACTCAAAATAGGATGAAGCGATTTCATATTGCAGATGTTTGCCCAGTGGATTCACATGCAATGTGAATTTTATTGATAGGTCCACTTTAAACTGCACATTTGTACAGGCTCTTCTCATTTACTGAAAATGCTTAATCTGATTTTACCACACATGTCTCAAGCTTCTCACAGAGAGCCTGCCTTATTTCTAAACTGGAGGACATCCAGCATCATTTAGCCTTTTCCTGTCCAGCCTTTCTGTCTTGCCCCTTTTCTTCTTTGCATTTAATTTCATAGGGGCTCAACATGACAGGTGGGCATTACCTAGGGCAGTCTGCATGCAAATGCCATCTGCTTAGGAATGTCCACTCCTTAAAGTGGAACTAAACTGTATGTGAGCACCACAAATGGAACACTGTATTTACCCACTTCCCGACCGGCCGTTGTATATAAACGGCCAGACGGTGGCACTGCAGGGTCGGGTGGCCGTTTATAAACGGCCTCCCCACACCCTGCTTGTGCGCGCTCCCCGGGAGCGCGCAGCACCGCGATCCGGTGCCTGCTGTGTCCTCCGGACACAGTGAAACACTGATCGTCGGACGGGACCTCTGTACGAGGTCCCGATCATATGATCACTGATTGGCCAATCAGTGATCACATGCAAAGTAGTAAGCAAGATGTCACTTCTGACATCATTGCTTACTACATGTGAAATTTGTGAATGATCACAGAGGTCACATGGTACAAGGTTAGTCACAACAGCCTTGTACCATCTGACAAGCTGTGACCAATCACAGCTCACTCAGTAGTTCTTAATGGCTGCAAGAATGCAGACAGAGAGAAAGAGAAATGATTGCTTTTACATCCTATATGGGTGTAAAAGCAATCAGTGTAAAAAAAAAAAATCGTCATCACCCCCCAAAAGTAGTACAGTGTCACCATGGTGACACTGTACTGTTAGGGTGACAGTATGTAAAAAAATAAATAAATAATAAAATAAATAATAATATAAAAAAAAAAATAAAAATGTAAAAAAAAATGTTTAAAAATTCTAATGTTTGGTTATAAACTAATTTGGCTTATTTTTTTGTTTTTACTAAAAAGATAACGGAATACATTTTGGCCAAGATTTATGATGAAATATTATTTATTTGCAAAATTTTTTTTTTCAAAATTTTTGGACATTTTCATTTACGTAGCAAAACAAATAAAAATCCCAGCGGTGAATAAATACCACCAAAATAAAGTTTTATCTGTCTCAAAAAAATGGTAACAAATTCATATGGGTACAGTGTTGCATGACCACGCAATTATCATTCAAAGTGTGATAGCACTGAAATCTGAAAATTGCCCTGGTCAGGAAGGGGGTAAAAGTGTCCGGACTGGAAGTGGTTAATATATTTTTAATATTCAATGCTAACCCATCCATCCATCCATCCATGTCCATGTCTTTATGCTTGCAGGCAAGTAGGCAGGAGGGTGTTCTTAGCTGAGAAAGCCCCTCCTTCCCATCTCCAGATGAAAGAGAAGAAAAAGCACATGAAGTCTCCTGGGATGCATGACATCATTTTGGCCTAGGCCAGAAACCAGGAAGCAACTAAAAAAAGCATTTAATAAAAAAAAACTGGTTAAAACAAGTAAATATAATAAACCTTCCTATCTATTTACTAATGCTAGCAGCGTAAGGTCTAAAAATATTAATGTTGATTGAGGGTCAATTCACACTTTGTGTGGTGATGGATGTTTTACTTCATATTAAAACGTCTGTCACCGCAGGGACACAGAGGAAACAATTGTTTCCTCTGTGTTCCATTCACACAGCAACGCTGCCTAGTGCTATGATAAAGTGCAGAGATGCTACATTTCATTGCAGTGCACCGGCCCAAATTGCACTGCAGTGTCAGGCAGCGCAATACATCGCATCGCATTGTACACTTCATTGTACACTTCAAATAAAGCTGGTACAAAACAAAAAAAAGGGACAGTACAGTGCACTGAATTGTGCATCACACTGCCCCCTAGCTAGCCGGTAACACAGAGCAGCCAGAACATTGAAACCGGAGCATTGTACATGTATGGATTCGTCCTTGGAGAGTTTAGTTCCACCTTAAGACTGATGTAAGCCCATAAAAGCATATTTTTATAGCTTCTCACAAAAACAAGCCCTTGCTTTCATTAGGGTTGAGGGCTTTTGACAGAAGTACTGAGACAGGGCGATGTGATGTTTTCAGGAAGCTATGTACAGCACCCTCCAGCCATGAACTGCGTGCATAACGAACATAGAAAGACACATAGACCTATTGGTGACAGCACTGGATCTAAAATAATGTACTGTATATATTGAAAACTATTTAAAAATGTTATTAGCATGCCCATGGGGTGAAGGGGAGAGGGCAGGGAAAGCAATATATATTCAAATTAAACTTCAGCCTAAAGGTGTGGAATCACTGGATGCAACAATAACTAATGCTGATCTTGTGGATCTGGTATAAAGAATGATAAAGACTCATATGATTTCATCCTCCTAAATACTGTATATAATTTAAAAAAAATCAGCAGTGCGCTGAAGCTATACCTATAGCCCTTGTTGTAATTTTGCATAGTTTTTGGAGACCCCCTGATCTAGAATGATGTTAAAAGTTGGAAATGGTGTTTACAGATAATCTTTACAGTTGGTGATTAATGCAGAGCAATTTTTTTTTTTGCCTACCTAAGGACCGATGCTACCTGTGTCTCATGGGAGCACTTCAGCTGGATCTAGGTGGAGCCCCTGCTGGACCCGCAGGCACAGGAAAAACTGAGACCACCAAGGACCTTGCCAAGGCTCTTGCTATACAGTGTGTAGTGTTCAACTGTTCTGATGGGCTTGATTATAAGGTATGCAACTTGTGTTTGCAGTCTTTAATATGCACAATTTAGGTTACCAGTATAGGCAAGGATGAAATTAGGATGTCTCAGAAATATTTCTAGTCCTTTGCTAACATCTATTTTTCATACTTACCAAATGTGCTATTTAGTGTATTTCACAAAATACTACAAAATGTGGTATCAATAAGCAGATTTGAATAGTGAACAAATAATTAAAAGCTTAGGTCAATGTATTTGGACAACACAGCAAATTGATTTATCCTGATATTTTTTCTGTATATTGTAGATGATGGGTCGTTTCTTCAGTGGTTTGGCTCAGTCTGGAGCCTGGTGCTGTTTCGATGAATTCAACCGAATTGACATTGAAGTCCTGTCTGTAATAGCTCAGCAGCTCATTACAATTAGAAATGCAAAGGCAGCAAAGGTAACCAGTTACTGGTACACTGAAATATTAAAAGCACAGTCATTTTACTGTTTATTTTGTGTAAAGTAAAAAATTAAAGGCTCGTGTGCCAACATATGTATAGACTGTATGGCGAGCGCTACCTAAATATACCGTATTCAAATGAAATGTAAAAGCCACTAGAACACCAAAAAGGTAACCAACAGACCTTTCCAAAAGACTACAGAGATAAAAAGGTGCAGCGCTAGGAAATATATCTCTCTATTTATCTAACAGTCTTCACCTCTGGATTGTTTATTATCACCACAGACAGGATCCTGCAAGATTTATATGATATATATCTTGTGATCTGGATGTTTTACTTTATTGTGATTATCAATTATATTGCACACTGTGCCTTTCATAACAGTTTTGTATATTGCTCATAACATTTCAGTTGTCATTAGCACTATATTTCCTAGTGCTGCACCTTTTTATCTCTTTAGTTGTGTGCCAACATGTACCAGCTATTCAAGAGTTTAGGACACTGTGAATCTGTTGCAAAGTTGTTCAGGATTTGGGATTTTTTTGTGCAAGAATTGTTGATCAAATGCATATTCTCCCTCTAGCGTGGCTGAGTAAAATTTGTTTTACACACAGTATCTCTTTAAATTTATATTGCAGCAACACCCCTCAGGAATTTGTGGCAGATATAATCTTGATTATTGTGTTTTACAGAACAATTATATAATAATAGTTAGCACCCCTTGTCAAAAACGAATACATTATTTTGGTGATCTGCTGGTACAAGACCTTGGCACATTGCAGTGTTTATCACCTCTAAAATAGTAACCAAATCTATGATTAAACTGAAGAATATGGTTTTCAGACACATATTTGCCAACAAATATAACCATACATAATATACATGATATAAGGGTGTCCCATGCATCTCCATCCACAGGCCAATAACCAAACCCACAAAAAAATGGGGAGGAAGGGGGCGCTTGTCCCTCTGAGTGAATGGCCATGAAGGGGTCTAAACTAATCAGTCTGGTAGGAAGAGTAGGCCTCTTGTTTTATATATATATATATATATATATATATATATATACACTATATTGCCAAAAGTATTGGGACACCCCTCCCAATCTCCTTCATGGCCACAGGTTTATAAAATCAAAGCACCTAGGTGTGCAGACTGCTTCTACAAACATTTGCGAAAGAATGAGTTGCTCTCAGGAGCTCAGTGAATTAAAGCGTGGTACCGTGATAGGTTGCCACCTGTGCAATAAGTCCATCCATGAAATTTCCTTTCTACTAAATATTCCACAGTCAACTGTTAGTGGTATTATAACAAAGTGGAAGCAACTGGGAACAACAGCAACTCAGCCACAACGTAGTAGGCCACGTAAAATGACAGAGTGGGGTCAGCACATGCTGAAGCGCACAGTGCGCAGAAGTCGCCAACTGTCTGCAGAGTCAATAGCTGAAGACCTCCAAATGTCATGTGGCTTTCAGATTAGCACAACAACAGTGCATAGAGAGCTTCATAGAATGGGTTTCCATGGCTGAGCAGCTGCATCCAAGCCTTACATCACTAAGTGCAATGCAAAGCGTCAGATGCAGTGGTGTAAAGCACGCCACCACTGGACTCTAGAGCAGCGGAGATGTGTTCGCTGGAATGTTGAATCATACTTCTCTGTCTGGCAATCCAATGGACGTGTCTGGGTTTGGTGGTTGCCAGAAAAAAGGTACTTACCTGACTATTGTTCCAAGTGTAAAGTTTGGTGGAGGGGGATTATGGTGTGGGGTTGTTTTTCAGGGGTTGGACTTGGCCCCTTAGTTCCAGTGAAGGGAACTTTTAAGGTGTCAGCATACCAAGACATTTTGGACAATTTCATGATCCCAACTTTGTGGGGACAGTTTGGGGATGGCCCCTTCCTGTTCCAACATGACTGCGCACCAGTGCACAAAGCAAGGTCCATAAAGACATGGATGAGCGAGTTTGGGGTGGAGGAACTTGACTGGCCTGCACAGAGTCCTGACCCCAACACGATGGAATACTTTTGGGATGAATTAGAGCGGTGACTGCGAGCCAGGCCTTCTCGTCCAACATCATTGCCTGACCTCATAAATGAGCTTCTGCTGCAAAGGGTGGGTCAACTCAATATTGAACCCTACGGACTAAGACTGGGATACCATTAAAGTTCATGTTCGTGTAAAGGCAGGTGTCCCAATACTTTAGGCAATATAGTATATATATGTAGTTGTTGATTTATTTCTACTTGCATGTGTTTTGAAAATGGATATTTATCTGTGTGGATGCTGACAAGATAAATCTCATGCTGGCTTCTTATATCTCTTGGGGATTGCACTAGTGGAACACCTACACCAGAGTTCTTACTTTGTCCATGCTTCTTCAAAGGTTTTTATAATGTGGAAAAAAAACATAATTTGGAAGAGCAGTTGTAAAAAAAAAACGTGCATTATGGTCTTTTGGAAAAAATGTAAAAACATATACTCCAAAATCCTTGTTAACTGAATCTACATGTAAATGTGTCAAAAATCTAGATAAATGTTGAAAACCATGTAATATTATAATATGCTGAATACTAGCATTACATTAACTGTAATCAGAATATGTAGTATTTTTAGTATAGGTATTCTTTAAAACAGAACTGGATATAAATCTTGGTGTCATTTGTGTAGTCATCTCCTGCGAAGGTGCTGATGCTGTGCCATTGAGTTCCTATCCTTTGTTTTGTCTGTCTCTTGTCTGTCTTTAAAATGGAAGCTGAAGATCTGAGACTAGTGAGATTGATTATTGATAGAATGGAACCCAGTGTTGGTTCTTTAACCACTTGCCCTCCAGAGGATTTACGTTCCCTTCCTGACCAGGCCATTTTTAACGATACTGTGCTGTGTTATTTTAACTGACAATTGTGCGGTCATGCAATGCTGCACCCAAATGAAATATATGTCCTTTTTCCCACACAAATAGGGCTTTCTTTTGGTGGTATTTGATCACCAATGCGTTATTTAAATTGTGCGCTATAAACAAAAAAAAGACTGAAAATTTTGAAAAAAAAAAACAATATTTTTTGACATTTTGCTATAAAACATATCCAGTAAAAACATTTTATATAAATTTAGGCCAAAATAGATTCTGCTACATGTCTTTGCTAAAAAACCCCCCAATACATGTAAATTAATTGGTTTACATGAAAGGTATAGCGTCTACAAATGATGGTATAAATAGTGGAATTGTTATTTTTATTTTTTTTACACTAGTAATGGGGGTGATCAGCGACTTATAGAGGGACTGGGTGGGAACTGACTAACTGCCACTGACATCTCCAGTGACACTAATACAGTGATCAATGCTAATAAAAAACACTGACACTGGGCAGGAAGGGGTTGACATCTGGGGCGATCAAAGGGTTAACAGTGTGTTCTGTTTTACAACGTGTTCTGTGTTTTTACTTGGGAAACATGCTGCTGTGTATTTTCTGCTTTGCAGGTTACTGCGGACAGGAGAGAGACCTGTGTTGTTTATACACAGGTCTCTTCCCTGTCAGTGTTACTCTGCGATCGCTAGGTGCTGGTAGAGAATCTCCAGCTGGGACCCCGTGATTGACATCTATAGCCGCCAATGGCAGTGCAGGTAGGGAAGTGTGCGCATGGACACCCTAACCGAAAATGCAAATCACATATATATATACGTGATTTTGCACAGCCCTGCCACCCTGTAGCAGTATTTCTGCTATAGAGTGGCGGGCAACTGGTTAAAGTGTTACTAAACCCAGGACTCTGAATTCACTCTGTCTGGTCTCCCACAGTACACAGAACATGGAAATGCAACTATTTTAATAAATATAAACTGCTAAATACCTTTTCTCATCAGCAGTTGGAGCAGTCTTGTGACTTCTATCAGTGTCCAGCAGAGCACTGGTTAAAGCTTGCAGGAGGAATTTTCTTTCTGCTCTAGGAGGATGCAAAACCCCTGACCTCTGTCTGGATAGTGCTGATCACATGCACTCTCCCAAGAAAAAAATACCTCTCTAGCAAAACACACCAAACTGAGCATGTGCAGAATGTCTCTGCACAATATCTCTTATCAGGAGATAAGAGAGGGGCACTGGAATAAGCATCAGAGAAGTGAGGATCAAATAGCCTTTTTACACAATGCAGAGGATTAACCCCTTAGGTTCCATAGTGAGTATAACAAGCATGATTTATTCCATATACAGACTGCTTTTACTGTTGTGGGTTTAGTAACACTTTAAAAGGCCGTGAGATTAAGCTGGTTATGACATGTGCAGCATTTATCACAATGAATCCTGGTTATGCTGGAAGGACTGAGCTGCCTGACAACCTCAAGGCTCTCTTTAGACCATTCTCTATGATGGTACCAAATTATGCATTGATTGCAGAGGTAAATACATGCACAATAATAATATAGTTTATCTATTCATTATCAAACTGTGGGACTATATACACACACTGGTATAATGATCTTACATTTTTACAAATTCTGTGTTTTAATATGTATTGGCGTAGTTATATTTATATATACTACCTGAAAATATTTCCCTCCATAAAGGAAAAGAGACACATATGCAAGATAATGGCATTACAACCCCAATCATGCAATCAGGGCTGGCAAGAGCTCTCTGTTTCTACTCACCATGCCCACCATGCAACACAAGAGTCCTTCCATGTAGAGAAAGTCAGCAGCCACGTGAGGTTGAATAAGATGCTCTGTCTGGAATATGTGTAATGCTTGGATGAAATAAAGAGAAATTTGATTTATCCTCACCTGGTTGCCGACCTTGTCTACATAAAGGAAAAAAGACCTCTGGGTACTTACCAGGTGTATATGAAAGATTTATAAATGCCTCATCAAGTGATTTGTTGGCTCATCACCTTACTCAAAACACACAGCCTTGCACAATATCATTTTGGGACTCTTCTGGATGTGGCTGATAGTTGTAGTGAGTTTTCACAGGGGTAATTTCATGTAGAGATGAGTAGCTTCAAATTAATCTGTGTGTGTAATTTGAGTTTCAGTTATTGAACATTGTGCACAAAAGGCCTTTTCAGCAATTTAGATAGGTCCAATTAGCATGTGAAAAGTAGCCCAACACTTCACCTGCTGGGTGGAAATCCTAAATATCAAATATTAACAAAATGAATAAAGAAGATATGATCAAAATGTACATTACCTTTAGGCATATGCTTTTGTGTAGGACAGGTTGAAAAACTACATATAGTTGCCATGTATAAAGTTTATTCTTTATTTTAGGTAAAATTAGTCTAACTGTAACTGTCAAAAGACATAACCCACTTCTGAAAGGCTTCATCCTTTCAGATCCAGATCATCTACAGATCCACTTCTATATATAAGCCTATAGCATTAGTCACTTCTTTTACAATAGTTGCTAAACATATTATTTATCTTTTTCAAAATGATTGCTATAGTAGTTTGAGACCTTATGGAAAACAAGTGCCATGAAGTTTCTAGTCATAAAGGCAGGGCTTAAAATTGTAAGTCCTGAGCTACTAGCCAGGCCTTAGAGTTACTCACCACCAACAAACACACACAAACTGAGACACCTGTACACACACACAGACATGTACATACACACAGAAACATTTACACACACGCACAGAGACACATGTATAAACACACAGGCACGTACAGACGCGCATACACACAGATACATGTACATACACAGAAATACACACGCACAGACACATGTCCATACATGCACATACATACACACATGTACACACACATACATGTACATACACGCAGACACATGTACAGATACGCATATGTACATACACACAGACACATGTACAATTGTATATGCATACACAGACACGCACAAACACACACACATGTGCACGTACACACACACACACACAACCCACCCTCCATAAAAAGTTGCAGTACTTCGTTGTTCACTCACAGATCCGGGTACTGCACTCTAGGGGGAGGCAGAGAGCACAGCACACACTCCTTGCTTTGCTTTCACTGCGCTCAGCTATTGAGCAGTCTGACGGCTCCCAGTGCCAGTTACAGATCCGGCCTCAGCTCCGAGCCTGCTCAGCAAGACGGCCCAGGGGGACACACTCGCCCCCACCATAATTTCAAGCCCTGATAAAGGTGTCTGGTTTTCTTTAAAACACATATAGGAGAATACTTGGCTGTTTAGAAAAAATCAGTTTGTAGAAATTGCTGCAATATTGTGCTTTTTTGTATTGGTATATAGAAGCAAACATTTTAAAACAACACACATTGATTAAAAAATGTAAATCAAGCAAATCTCTTTCAGAATATCTATAAAAAAAATTACGTGGTTATAGCTTACCTTGAAAAATGACAGATTTGATGCAGTTGAATGTAGACTAACGCTGATAATTTATTGCAGGTTATTCTGTATTCTGAAGGATTTGAGTCCAGTAAAGTTTTGGCCAGGAAGATGACACAAATGTATAAACTGTGCAGTGAGCAGTTATCACAACAAGATCACTATGATTTTGGAATGAGAGCTGTAAAATCTGTCCTGGTCATGGCTGGGTAAGGAATGGGGTAAAATTTTATAAATATTCAATTACTATTGAAAGGAATGGATACAGCAGAATTGTATATTCTATTTTCTTAGGTTCCAGACTGTTGTCACACATTTAGAAGAAAAGTGCTTAATTTTGCTATTGAATTAAATGATAATGCCTGCAACCCACTCACTGTGATTGATTTACTAAATGAGTATAAAATGAAAACAGAATGTTCACTTAGCTTAGTAAATATTGTAAAGTTTTGTTTACTATGACTATCCAATCATGTCTTCTCATTCCCGAAACCCTACTTCACAGAAGCTTTTGTATACATGCACTTTACTGATGATAACCAATAAACTGGAAAACAGCTGCATCCAGAAGGAATAAATGGCTGTGTAATATTAGACTGTATCTATACTGTAAACCAGAGGTTCTAGGTGTACAGATGGCTATGAAGCATAAAGGAATTTGCATACATTAGCTTTGCTCACTATCCTAAAATGAGAAATAAACCTTTTTAAAAGCTTATGGGATTTGTGATGAAAGCGAAACATATACTGTAGATACCCTCTATTTCAAGAAGTCACTACAGTGATTTGCACTTGTTCAGTGGGGGCTTTTCATTTCCTTTTGGTCCTCCTCTCCAGAATCTGTTATGTCATGGTAACCAATCAAGCACAAGGTAAAATACACAAAACAAAATTTTGCTTGTTCAAGTTAAGATAGTTGAAGTTAATGGAGCATCACATTATTCACTAACCTAAATTAGATGTCTACAAAGTGAAAATTCTGTACTCCTTTAATAAATCAACTTTAGTGTCTGAATATACGGATTCAATACACTAGAGATCTATGGATTTCAAGTGCTTGTCACTGCTACTATATAGCCATTGTTGATTTCTTAGTCATGGAGTTCGTCTACTGAAACTGCAAATGATCTCAATATCTTTAACGCAAGCGTTATGATGTATTTACATGGTACAAAATAATGACTAGTCCATTAAAAGTCAGAAAATGTAAGAAATTTATGGCAAAGTGATTTATATTTTTAATATTCTTATACATTTATTTGTTCCTTTCTTTTACCTTTAAAGCTCACTCAAAAGAGAACATCCAAATTTAAATGAGGATGTTGTCCTTATTCGTGCTTTACGGGACTCAAATCTACCAAAGTTTTTAACAGATGATGCTGAACTCTTCAGGTGAGCCACATATACATAAACATAATAGATTATTATATGTTGATCTATTGGCTGTGGATCAATATATGGAATGTGTGTGATCTATTTTCTTTATTGTGGGTGTTACAAAAAAATAACCAATAATATTTGTATCAGAATGTTGACTAAAAATGCTGCCAATCTCAATACAATGATGCCATGTTTGATAAAATTATCACAATATGTGTTAGTATTAGTGCCCATGAAAGCAGTTATGGTAGCTATGGTCTTGTTCATGAGTGTATGAGTGAGTTCATGAGAGTTCAATGAGTGTATCATTAGAGACATTACTAGTAGAAGAAAGGAACTGATTCCACTGAGCTTTAATGGGGACTCACTTGAAATATTATGTATTTTTGGGACCCTCAGCACCTGAAAGATACAAATAATATAAAGACAGCAAAAATGGTACAAGGTTTCTGTGTTATGTTTCTGTGTATGACAGACATGTAACCTCAAAAGAAATACAGACTGCTCCGGAAAAAGATGGTGTTGTTGTTTCAAGGAGCACAATACGGCAGTACTTGAACAAAAATGAGCTGCATGGTTGAGTTTTCAGAAAGAAGCTTTACTACGCCAATTCCACAAAAAGCCCAGTTACAATATGCCAATTACAACACCTTGACATGCCTCGCTGGGCTTTCTTGCGGCATTGGCACAGTAAAGGCTTCTTTCTAATAACTCGACCATGCAACTCATTTTAGTTCCAGTATTGTGCTTCTTGAAACAACCACACCATCTTTTTCCAGAGCAACCAATATTTCTCCTGGGGTTAATTGTGGGTTTTTCTTTGTATCTCAAACAATTATTTTGGCAGTTGTGGCTGCAATCTTTCTTGGTCGACCTAACCTTGGCTGGTTTCAAGAGATCCCCAAAATTTCCACTTTCTAACAAGTGATTGAACAGTACTGACTGTCATACCCACATGAAAGGAAAATATATTTTAAATATATCTTAAAAATATTCTTCCCAAATATATTGACATATATTTGAAATGCTACAATTTTGGCCATATTCAATATACTTCAAAATATATTTCAATAGAAAAAAAATTATATATATATATATATATATATATATATATATACTGTATTTTCAAATGCGTTTTTATTACAATATATATGAAATATATTTTTTAAAATACATTTCAAATATACTGTATGTCTTTAAAAATACAAATCTACTTAAGAAAATACTTGGGAAGAATATTTTAAAAATATATTTAAAATATATTTTTTCTTCCATGTGGGTACTTAAGGCTTTAGATATCTTTTTATATACTTTTTCATCTTTGTAAAGTTCCACTACCTTGTTACTTAGGTCTTTTGACAGTTCTTTTTTGCTCTCCATGACTCAGTATCTAGCCTGCTCAGCGCATCCTTGAGCTAACAAACTCATTGACTATTTATACACAATAATTGTAATTTGAAAAGCCACAGATTTGGGAAATTAATCTTTAATTGCCATTTTAACCTGTGTGTGTCACCTTGTGTATCCGTACCAAGGCCAAACATTCCAGGGTGTGTAAACTTTTGATCAGGACCATTTGGGTGATTTCTGTTATCATTAGGATTTAAAAAGAAGCCAAACAACTATGTGATAGTGAATGGCTTCATATGATCACTATCCTTAAATTTAAGACAACTTTTGGCATGATCAGTGTTAATTTCAATATCAATGCCAAAATTTCACGATTTCTACCGGGATATGCAAACTTTTCAGCACAACTGTGTGTAAAGGAATTACATGTGGAAAATAGTTTCTAAGGTAACCTATAGGGTAAGAGGTGTTTTACTACTAGTAGGAAAACAAGTATCTACTGTAGCAGGAAATTCAAAATTAAATTATTTAGAGGCAGGTTAAAAAAAAATAAATAAAAAAAGGACACACTTAATGGAGCCCTTAGTTTTTTATCTGCAGTCAGCATTCTCTGATTCTACAGACAATTATGTAGTAGTTGAGTGAAGTGTTTTTAATACCATTGAATGATATCTTTCTTGTGTTCGTAGTACAACTTTATTAACATAATACTTTTGAGTCCCAGTTTCGGATAAAAAGATTTTGCTTTTTTCTCAGTGGCATCATATCTGACCTCTTCCCTGGAGTTATTATTCCTGAACACGACTATGGTTCTTTACAGTCTACCATCATAGATGTAATGCTTGCCCGGGGTCTACAGCCTGTGGCTAGAATGGTTCACAAAGTTATCCAGTTCTTCGAAACCATGATTGTGAGGCATGGTGTCATGCTGGTCGGTCCAACTGGTGGAGGAAAAACAACAGTTTACCAAATCCTTGCAGATGCACTGACCGCCTTATTTAATGCCGGTGAAACACATCATTTTTACCAACCTGTTAAAACATACGTACTCAATCCCAAATCAATCACAATGGGTGAACTATATGGAGAAGTTAATAATTTAACTTTGGAGTGGAAGGATGGGTTAATGGCACTAAGCGTTCGAGCAGCTGTGAATGACACATCAAAGGACCACAAATGGATTGTTTGTGATGGCCCAGTGGATGCTTTGTGGATTGAAAACATGAACACTGTCCTGGATGACAACAAGATGCTCTGTTTGGCAAACAGTGAAAGGATAAAATTCACGCCACAGATTCATATGGTCTTTGAGGTAAATCTTTATAACATGGTATGTTTAAGCCTGACTAATTGGCCATCAGAGTTGCTATGTGTGTGGAAACATTTAAAGGTTATAGTCATGATTATGGTTATGCATTTTGATTAAAAATTGTAAGAATTAGTCAGCATTAAATGCTTATTCTGGCAAAACATAACTTTTTCAAATATTATAACTGATCCCTTGCTGTATTTTTCTAATTTTGCGTAATGGCAAAAATGGCATTCGTCTAGGAACCATTTCCTGTCTAAAGGAAACCACGGTTGCTATTTTCACATGATGTTTGGGTAAGAGCTATTTTTATTTCCTTATACTGGAATGTGAGGCTAAGTAGCATTAATCTAAATAGCTGTATAGCTAAGTAAATATACAAAATTTCTACTGTAACCACCATCTGGCTTTCGGTATATTAAACAGTTTAATTGAGCTAATAGAGAGCACTACCAATGTACCTCTGTCAGTATAACTAGATATGAGCAGACTGATTTTGCCACAGAATTACAAATTTTTTGTTTTTTACTCATTAATCTCCTTAGGTGAAATTCTCACGTAGAAAAATTATTTCAATTTTTTTTTTATTTATTTAGAAGATTTTTTTAGGTGTTCTTTATATTTGTATATTTGATTGTTATTTGTGTACTGTAGATTTAATTTTTTTTCTTTCTTTAAAAAAAAAGCATAAAAGGAGCTGTTTTTTGGCACAATGACAGGTCCTGAATATCTGCATCTGTAACCCTTAAGAGCCATTTAAATCCACTGCACCCTTAAAAGCCATTAAAACCACTTTAATTTCTTCTCCCCATTGTCTCCAATGCATTTTGCCATTTTAGAGAAATCGCTCTAAGTTTTGCTCCTCCCTATGTATATCCAGTTATGTTACAGACAGGCAGGCTATTACAGTATAAGGTATTGTACTGTTCAATATCGCATTCCTACACACTCTTACTGAAAATTTTTTACTTGCAGGTCCAAGATCTAAAAGTGGCATCGCCTGCCACGGTAAGCAGATGTGGCATGGTTTACATTGATCCAGAGGAACTGAAGTGGATGCCATACGTGCAGACCTGGATAGCTGGCCTACCAAGCAAAGTAGGTGCTCGATCAGCACTTTCTACATGTGAAGTGATTGATTACAAATACATTTAAGCATTACAAAATGCAGGCTAGCATTACAGTCTGCCTAATAATGGCCTAATACGCTGCTACATCTCATATATCATCATTACATTCCCCTTGCACATCTTGTTAATTCTACTGTCCTGATTTACTCAACCTGCCATTACTCTTTCCTCCACCTGGCAGTGAGCCATGATTTTATTTGTCAGAATGAGAAGCCACAGCAGATAAATGCATGTGGAAAGCTAGGACAAATTACTGTGTACTCTGTACTAGTTCCTAAGGGAAACAAAATATGCAAGCAAGCTTCTTGTGACTTTCCTCCTTGCTTGCCTCTTGCCTTCACAATTACTCAGTTATGATCATATTTCCCCTCCTGTTCTTCCATATTTATCTCTGCTGAAATCATTTTCCCATGATATTATCAGTTATCATTCTACCATAATAGGAAATGGTTTCTACTAACTACCATATACACACAAAATTACATAACAGATCAGCACTGATTAATCCATTTATTTAAATGGTTAATTTATTTTTAAATCCTTGGGAAAAGGGCTGTAATAAGTTAAAACCCAAACCAATCAAAGCATAGTGTAGTAGAAAATAAAGCATTTTTGATTGGTTCACCCAATATCTATCTATCTATCCATTCAGTCGTATCCGACCCTTGGCGATTGCATGGACCATCACTTGTATGTGACTTTTCCATGAATTCTCTTAGCAATTATTTTTTACAGGGTAGGTTGCCAGGTCTTTCCCCAACCCCTTCCATCCAGGAGATCCCGCCTGGCCAGGGATGTCACGCAATAGAAGCAGCATAAATACAAATAAAGTGCTCAAGTGCTAAAACATATATGCATAAATAATACGAATAAATAAATACATAAAAAAGTTCAATTCATAAAAGTGAAAACCAAAAACGTGCTGTGAAATCAGTATATAAGTCCACCAAATAACTGGGTCCTTCTTTTCAGCCAAACCACCATGTGATTGGATAGACCTTCCACATGTGTCAATAATCAGCAAAACTCCACTTCAGTTACACCATATGCTCCAAAGAGATCACTCCCAATCCAGTGACACTCACCAGATATTATGGCTTATCTAACACTGATAAGCAGCAACGCTTGTGGTGAATATCAATCACAGTTATGGTTCTTCCTCCATAATGGCTGTGCCCTTCAGTAAACAAATGGTCATATAATGGTAGGAAGTCCTCCATCAAAATCAGTCCACCGCAGGAAAGAAAATAAGAAAGAGCCAATAGTGTAATACCTCTAAAATTCAATTTATTATAAAACCAGTAACATACTCACAAAGAGTTATTGCATACCCAACACCAATAATCCCACAATGGTGGGGTTTATCGCATCTGCAGTGTCTCACCCGTCCATCCTCGCTGGCTGCAAAAGGAATATGTCAGTTGTAAATAATACTTGTGTGCCCTCACCCTGACGCATTTTGTCACCTAACTTTGTCAAAGGGTTCTTTAAAGAACGTATTATTACGCATGATTTAAAACAGCACCATTTTTTTCAGATTATAGCACATATGGGTTATGTGCTGAAAGCACTATAGATTTGGTGTTAGTTTTATTTGTTTTTTGTATTTCAATGGTTTTTATTAATTTTAAACAGTATAAAACAGAGGCAACAAAACACGCCCACGCAGGGGCTATCAATTGCACCGATAGAAAATGCATAATAGAGCAGACAACGCTCTAATTCCAATAAGGCAAAACGTATGCCCACGTAGGGGCTATCAATGGCACATAGGTAACAATAACATCAGTGAAACTCAGATTATCGCAACTAAAGACAGCTGTCCACTGTCACATCAAAACAAACAGAAAAGGAAAGAAGAAAAGCAGAGAAAAGAAAGAAAGAGAAAAAAAAAAACACACACCAGAGAGCAAGGGTCCATGAGCGCCAATACAAAACTCCATCACCTCCCTACACTGGCCGGGGGGGAGCGTGGGAAAGGCATATTGCAACCATGGCTCCCATATTTTCAAAAATTTATGTTGAGAGTCGTTGCATATACTCGACATCTGTTCATTGAGCATCATAGTAGTCATACGATCCCGCACCCCCTGAAAAAGTACAAACGGACTCTTCCAGGCCTGGGCAATTGTCCTAGTGGCCGATAAAAACAAATAGGAAGCCAACCGCTGCTGACGAGCCAAGAGGCCCGGTATGGGGCAATGAAGCAAAGCATACCGAGCATCCCGGCGTATGGAGAGATGAAACAAAGTGAAAAGGAGGCCAAACACACGAGACCAAAAACGAACCAACCTCGGGCATGACCACCAGATATGCAGTACATCGCCACGATGGCCACAACCCCGAAAACATCGATCACTACAGGCAGGGTTAGCCTGGGCCAAACGAGCCGGCACCCAATACCAACGAAACAATACCTTATAGGCTGCTTCCAGCGTGGTTGTATTAAACGAACATTTAGCTATGAGGGACCAGGCTTTATTCCAGTCCTCCGGATCCACAGCCATTCCCAGGTCGCGTTCCCACTGAACTACATATGAAAGAGAAGTGTGCGACGAGCATCTGTTCAAAGCTGCGTAAAGAAGGGAGATAAGGCCCGGGCGCCCCGGACGCTGCTGGCAAAGCCGTTCAAAGGCAGATGTCTGATATGGGAAAGCAGAAGTGGCCCTCAGCGAGAGTAGCCAGTGCCGCAATTGAAGGTACCGAAAAAATTCCGCTGGGGGAACATCCCGAGACTCCCGGAGGACATTCCAGGTGGGAAAGGACCGAAAAAATCAAAAAGTGTCGCACCTGTGAGAAACCATGAGCCACCCACCAAGAAAATGCCCTCGGGTGATCTAGACCCGGCGGGAAAAGAGGGTTATTAACGATTGGAAGCAAGGGCAGGAAAGGTGACATCAGGCCACTGGAGTAACGTACCGAGTCCCAGACTCGTAGGCCATGGAGCAACATCGGACTCAGCGCCGTAGGGCGCAGGGCAGGGGAAGCCATAGAAGTGTCGATAGTGCGATAGGGGCACAATTAGGCAGTTCCAGCAGGACCCAGAGAGGAACATCGGAGGAAGCGTGCAACATAGACAGCGGGGCAATTTGGCTCGCCTGATAATACTTAGTTACATTGGGTACCCCAAGACCACCTTGGAGTCTATGAGCAAAGAGCGTATTTCTAGAAACTCTGGGATGCTTATTGGCCCAGATAAAACGCATAAACTTCGCCTGAAGCAACCGAAGAAAATGAGGGGGAACCCGCACTGGGAGGGTGCGAAAATAATATAACAATTTTGGCAAGATGGTCATTTTCACTGAATGAACCCGTCCTATCCAAGACAGGTGCGGAAATTGCCAGGAATGCATAAGAGAAGATAAGGATCTAAGCAAAGGATAATAATTTGCAGCAAAAAGGGAGTCATAGGTGGGGGTCAAGCGAATGCCCAAGTATTCAAGAGAAGAGGAAGCCCACCGGTAAGGGAAGTGGGATTGTAGGCGCGAAACCAAATCTGAAGCCAAAGTAATATTGAGAGCAACGGTTTTATCCAAATTAATACGTAGACCCGAGATCAAGGAAAAGCGCTCAAGAACCCGTTGCAAATTAGGAAGTGTCGTCAGAGGATTAGTAAGGGTCAAGAGGGCATCGTCCGCAAAGAGGCTCAGCTTAAACTCCTGTCCCGCGTATGGAACCCCCGATACATTGCAGTCGGTCCGGAGCGCTAAAGCCAGTGGCTCAAGCGCCAGGACAAAGAGCGCCGGGGACAGCGGGCAGCCCTGCCTCGTCCCTCGCCCAACAGGAAAGGGATCCGAGAAATACCCAGCGTATTTAACGGAAGCCGAAGGAAAGGAATACAAGGCTTGAATCCAAGAGAGAATAGAATCCCCGAAACCCCAGCGAGACAGCACAAACCGCAGATATTCCCAGGATAGAGAATCAAAAGCTTTATATATGTCCAAGGACAGTAAGAATCCTGGTATTTTCCGTTGTTGCAGAAAATGTATAAGATGGACCACCTTACGGACATTATCACCCGCCTGCCTCCCGGGGACGAACCCTACTTGGTCCCTGTGGACCAGGCTACACAAATACTTATTGATGCGAAAACTAAGGATCTTGCCCAATATTTTCAAGTCTTCATTAAGAAGAGAGATGGGCCGGAAGGCTTGCGGTTCCTGGACATCAGCGGTCGTCTTAGGAATCATAGAGATATGTGCCCTAAGTGCGTCCGGAGAGGGGCAAGGAGCCCTGTCGTAACTCATTAAAGTAGGCAGCTAAAAAGGGCGCCAATAGGGCTGAGAATTTTTTATAATAGAGACCGGAGAAGCCGTCTGGACCTGGGGCCGCGGTGGACCGTAAAGATTTGATTGCTTGTAGCACTTCTGGTACGGTGACACCTGCGTTGAGGGCCACCTGTGCTGCCTCGGTTAATCCAGGAAGATGGAGGTCCTGAAAGAATGCCTCTGCCTGGGCCACAGGGAAGGGATCTGGGGCAGCATAGAGGCGCGAAAGGAAGTCCGAGAATCGGGAAACAATCTGCTGGGGATTAGAAGTACAGCCACCCGTGGAAAGTCGAAGCCGAATCGGTTTATGGGGTTTCCCCACAGAATTGAGTTTCCTGGCTAGCATGGGACCGGGCTTATTAGCACAGGAATAGAATTTATGTTTGGTCCAACGCAAGGCCCGTTCCGCCTCCGAAGAGGCAAGGAGGTCCAATTCTGTCGCCAGAGCGTCCCGAGCGCGTTTATGGGTCACGGATGGAGATGACTTCCAACACGCATCCGCAGAGGCCAGGAGAGAATGAAGCTCCGAGAGTCGACGTTCCCGCTCCCGCTTCCGGACTGCAGCCAGCTGTATAACATGACCCCGCACCGTGGCCTTATGCGCTTCCCATAGGGGCACTGCTGAAGAGACCGATCCCGAGTTTTCCGTAAAGTATGTCCGTAAGAAGAATTCTATTTCTTGGCAGGTAGCCTGAGTGGTCAGTAAAGAGTCATTGATGCGCCAATGAAAAGGGCGTCGTTCTGACCCGGAAAGGGCAAGGAGGAGTACCAAAGGATCATGGTCTGACCAGGGTGAGGAGGGAATAGTTATCCGCCGGACCGAGGGGAGTTGCTGGACCTGCATGAATATATGATCAATTCTACAAAAACTGTCATGAGGGTTAGAATAGAATGTAAAGTCGCGTTCAGTTGGATGAAGTTCCCTCCAGACGTCCGCTAGCCCCGCCATCCGCAAAGAGAGCGCATACGTTCCTCCAGCACCAAGTCATGAGAGGGGGTCGCTCCTTGTGCGTAGCGCCTATCCAGTGTGGAATCTAAGGTAACATTCGAATCCCCCATAACAAGAAGAAGACCCTTAGAGTGTCGAGAAATAATGGTGCAAAGATGCGAAAAGAATTTATGCTGGAAACGGTTAGGCGCGTAGTAAGAGACAAAGGTAACCTCCTGGTCCCAGAGGGTGCCTTGCAGAAGCAAATACCTGCCCGTGGGGTCCGCTATATTCCGAGCACAGACAAAGGGGAGATTGCGTTTAAAAGCTATCAGAACACCCCGACGCTTCTCAGGAGCCGAGGCCGTGTAAAAGATGGGATAGTGAGGTGAAAGATAACGCGGAGCGGAGGACTGAGAAAACCTGGTCTCCTGTAGACATACCACATCAATTTGTTGCGACTTGAGGTGATGAAAAACTTTAGCCCGTTTCTGAGGCGAATTGAAGCCCTGAACATTTTGTGAATGTATTTTCAAAAGGGGTGAGGCCATGGCGGTATCAACGCAACACGCTCAGCAGAAAAAAGCCCAAAGCAGCCAGCAATTTCCACTCCCAATGGCGATCGGACCATGGCGTCCCGGAACCCTGCAGAAAACAAAAACAAAAAAAAACAGAGAAAAAGAGAAGAACAAAGAAAGAAAAAAAGAAAAAGACACAAAAAATATACACAACAGTGCAATCGTGTCACACCAATGGTGATGTGCATCCTACACATGAAGGATACAGTTAGGGGTAACTCTACCACCGGACACATGGCTGCAAATGGAAACATCAAAACAGAAGCCCTCAGGGGGCAAAAAGGCAATGTACATAATAGAATATAGTAAATCTTAATAAACTAAAAGTCCCAGGAGCAGGAACCTCCGCGACGACCTCCCCATAGAAACTCGGAGAACCACAGGGGCCAACCCCCCTCCACCCAACCAGGCCCACCGGGTCAACCTCCCACCCCGGAGCCCAAGGGAACCATCACCCAATGCCACAAACGTAGACCCAAGCACCATCACATGGACCCAAAACAGGCTGCGGCAGCAAAAAGTCCCGATTCCTAAGTCCAGGAAGAGACCCCCCCCCCAACCCGGGATGAAACCCAAAAGGGCAAGCCGGAGCAGTCTCAACCTAGAATGTCGACAAACCGGGGAGGCCCTAAGGACCAAACTCACGATCTCGTCAGGGTAGTCCCTCGGTGAGACGATATGTGGGAGTTCCAAGGCGCATCGTCAGCCTGGAGAAGAACAGGAAGGACTTGATCGCGAAGGGGTCTGAGGGAGAGCCCCCCTCCTGTTGGACGACCGCTCCCAGATGCGGCCCAGAGGGGGCGGCCTTGCCGAGGATCTAGATGAATGAGCCGGGCTCCGATCAGCAGCTTCGGCGAGGGAAGATGTAGAGATTCTAGGAGAGAATGGGCCTCCTCCGGCGTAGCCACAGAATGACTGCGGCCCTGGTAGGTGAAGGTGAGGCGGAACGGAAAGCCCCAGGTATATTTAATTCTGTGTTTCACCAGGACCGAAGTGAAGGGCTTCAACTGGCGTCGCTTCTGGAGAGTGGTCTGAGAGAGGTCCGCGAAAAGCTGGTAGCGGTGCCCCTGGAAGCTAAGATCAGGGTTATTTCTGGCCGCCAAGAGGATAGTTTCCTTAGTGCGGTAATAAGTAAACTTGATGATAATGTCCCTCGGGGGCCCATCCGGTCGTCTGGGGCCCAAAGAACGATGTATGCGGTCAAATTCGAGCCGGTCAATGGGAATAGCGGGTGTCAGCTCCTGAAACAGAGCAGTAGCAGTGGAGGTAAGATCCGTGACCGTTTCCGGAATACCCCTTAACCGCAAATTGCCACGGCGGGAACGGTTTTCGAAATCCTCAAGCCGCAGTAGTGCATCCGCCAATTCCTTCTTAAGGTCGCACAGGTCCTGTTCGTGAGTTTCAATGACTGTGGCCGCAGCGTCCATTTTATCTTCGAGGTCATTCGTCCGATTGCCCAAATCCCGAATTTCCCGCGAAAGACGGTCGGCCAGCTTGGAGGTAGCGGAGGACAATTCTGATTGCAGCATACTTTTAAAGCGGCGCAGGAGCTCGGCATCCCGCAGGGATGGAATGTGCGACCGCCGGGATGGCTCGGGATCCAGGTCCTCCCCACTGCCAGGATCCATCTCACCTGCAGGTAGTGATGGCAGGGGACCCAAACTTGCAGCCAGGGCTTCAGCTGTTGTCCCGGGCGAAAATCGCGAATCCGCGGCCGGGGTCCTGGAAGCCTCCGGCGGCCGGCCCAAAATCGAGGCCGCGGCTTCACCCCGCGATCTCCGGCGGGTAGGCCGCAACCTCCCGAACGGTCCGCCGGACGCTGGAGGTGCGGGGGGCCGGGGTTTTTTTTTCCCATCAGGGTGCTGGAAGGACAGGGGGCCAGGGAGGAAGCGGAGGGACCCCCCCTGAGGGTCAGAAATCGGCCGATGTGTCCGGTGGCCGAGACAGTAAATTTAATAGGCAGCCATCCTGGCTGCTGCTCACGAGCGCCCCGTTTTATTTGTTTTTTAAAACATTTTATTCACATATGTGATAATATTATTTTTGCGGTGATTTGAAGGAATACACATTTTTGATTATGTGTTACTGTTCTGATGTATTGTGAACTATGAAAAGTTTCATTGTCCTCATTACTGCATAATTATTTTTCGTGTTTTTTTTTTTAAGTGGACGTAAAGGCAAAACCTAACTAACTCTAATTCTACTCTCAGCCACATTTAAAGTCTAATCTATCTAGCCCTGTAAAGAAAAAAAAATCGCTATACTTACCTATTCTGCAAGGCCCAGGCTCAGCTGTCAGTGGAGGCTTCAGTGTGTAGCAGAGGCTCCACAGTAAGTCTAGATGACGTCACTTTCTAGGCATTTCCCAGCCACTGTCAGCTTTCTGCTGTACACAGAAGGCGCCGCAGGAGATTGGACCGGAGTGGCTTCAGAATAGGTAAATATAGCTATTTTTTCTTTACAGGGCTAGATAGATCAGGCTTAGAATGTGTCTGAGAGTAGGTTTAAAGTTAGTTAGGTTTTGCTTTTACTTCCACTTGATTGGAATTTTTTTAAGCTGAACTACAGCATAATAAGCAAATTAAATACAGGGTGCTGTTTTACTTCCCAAGGGATTTGTTTTTCTTTCCACCTAATGTTAAAATTTACACAGCCTCACCAGAAAGAACAGACAAGTGGATGACACCTCTTTCTCTGCTACAGTTATAGACTGTAAAAGAAATACATGGATCTATTGTCTCAACCCCCAGCTGCTGACTAGACAGTAAAAAAAACAGCTGATGACTGATGAAGTTATCTATCTACTTACTTTGTTTTCTCCTCCAATCAGCATATTGCTTGTTAGCATGCAACACACCTCATTGACCCCCCCCCACCTCTCCCAGTCTGAGTGCTGCTGTACAGTGGCTTGCAAGAGGTTGATATTAAGTCAAATTCTGGCACTTTCGTTAGTTGCTTTAAACAATACGTTCTATAATTTATTAACAAATACATAGCTGCATTATTTTTTGTATTATATACTGTATATACCTGGAGTTTCAGCTTTAAATACTACATTTTTTACTACAGAATATGTACCACTTGATTGAAATTTATTTCCCAGGGACCAAAGGAAATGTTATCAAATTAGTACAGTAAGTGCTACCTTTGTAAAAAGAAACATTTATTTAAAGTTTCAGAAATTCAATATTCTTCATCATAAGGAACTTAGACATCTGGCCCGCAAATTATTTTTTTATTTATTAATTACAGGTACTTGTACTTGTACAGTGCCATCAATTTATGCAGCACTTTACATAAATGCATTGCACATTCACATTGCTCCCTGCCCTCAAGGAGCTTGCAATCTACGGTCCCTCATATTTTATTTCCATTTAAACTTCATTGTATTTGAGAAAAGACACAATTGCCGCCATGGATGTATTATTATTTATTTATTGTATGTCAACCTTCTTAATATTTATTGCCAATTTCTGTTCTGAAAAAAATTATATTAGCATTATCATAGCGCTATTATATCCCAAATTGTTAATAGTGAAAATTGAGTTTTCATTTAAGGAATGACAGATACAGTCCCATGTCATTTTGGAATCTGAAACCTAAAAAAGCATGTTAGTCGTTATCATTATCATAAAGAAGAAAGATGAAAAAAAAATATTTGTCTTGCATAAACACATACTGTATTGTTCTTTTTGTGTGATTATAGAAAATGATTATTGAAAAAAGTTAAAATAAAAGTATGTATAATATGTAGCATGTAGCATTTTGCAAGCGGGTCACCTAAGTGCACTGAACTTGTAATTTATAAATAAAAAAGTGTACATTTTTGCACCTAATAATCTCATATATGTCATTATAGATAAACGATGATACCAAGCAGTATATTTTGGATCTGTTTGAACGTTACATTGAAGATGGCCTTACGTTTGTCACTAGAAAATGCACACAAGCTATCCCACAAGTGGATATCAGTAAAGTAACCACACTGTGCTGCCTGCTTGAATCCCTACTGCTTGGAAAAGGAGCACCAGACTTAAAGATGGTAAACGAATAAGTTGCACCTCTAAATACAGTAGAAATGCTGAGTTTATGATTAGGCATGGTATTGGTTCCTGCCACTTCAGTGTACTCATTAACCACAGCACCCCACCCATGCCACTGACTCTTATGCTCACCCTTGTGCTCTTTTTTTCCAGCATCCCTATTGTGGAATGCTCAGTTAACCTTCACTGAAAAGAGTCAGTGGTTCTTAGATTTCCACAGCTCCTGATAAACCAAGGATCATATCATCTACACTTGCTGAGCATAGCAGAGTCTTTTTTATTTACCTCTTTTTAGGGTATTGTGGGATTGTTGGGAAATTCAATTTCACATTGTTCCCCTTTTTTGTGCTATCCCTCTATACTTTTCTCCTGATTTAAAGAATCTGGAATTTTGGCACAAAATTGGTCTTTTGAACCAATAAGTCCTGCTAGCAGTCCTTTCTCTCATTATGGAAGGATTCTCCTAATAAATGTTTCATATTACCTATTCCTTTGGTTCGGTTCTACAGAATAGACAGTCATCAGGGGATCTCTGTATCAGTCAGTCTTTTAATCTGACCTCTGTTGGACTTCTCTTATCTTGAGGCTGCAAGATCTTCACCTCTGAAATTTTGGGAACTCCCCCTACATATAACTTGATTACTGACTTCTGACGATGGACAGTGTTGGGTATGATATTCATGTCCAAACTGTTTTCTTAGACTCAAAGTATTGCTTTCAGATCACGTCATCTGTTTTTTAACAGTGAAGGGTCTGCACATGAATGCGCCATCTTAATGACTCCAGTACTTCCCTAGAAGGTTAGCAGGACAGGGAACTCTGTTATCTGGATGCAGATTTTCCCTAATTTTGGAGTGGGATAGGGTAAGTCCTCAGTACTGGAAGATAAATTATTTTTTTTTGCTCCTTCATCCTAATATATGGATCTCCCTCTCCCTGAAGTCATGGGTTTGAAGGTGTTTTACATAAAGTGTTTGTAAACCTTTGACATGAGATATGAAACAAAGCCCATCCCTCTACAGTGTGTACTTGTTTCAAGTAAGCGCACTAAGTGTAATTTCTGTTTGGTTCTTTGTTCCCTGCTATCAGCATGAATCACCTTTTTCTAACACCAAGAGAAAAAAGGTGACAGGGGAGGGGTCTCCAGCACATATCTTTTTGATTGACAGCTTCAGCTGTTTTCCTGTGTGCTCTGTGAAGGGAGGGTTAGGACTTTCCCTCCATGCAGCTCTCAGAGCTCTCCTCACTGAGCTCTGCAGTGTGAAACTTCAGCTTTCCTCCCCCTGTTTTCTGGAGGCTCAGACAAGCTTTTTAAATTCTGGACTTTGACTGTTTTATCTCTGTGTGTCACCTGAGGCCAGTCTCTTCACTGGGTACAGCTAAGGGTTTATAATCACTTTAAGCCTCCAGCTGTTAACTGATTAGTGTTTTGGTTTGGACATACTGGGGTTTATTTACTAAAGTTGGTTCACTTAGAATCTTGTGCACTTCTGCACAGAAACCAATCAGCTTCCAGGTTTCATTGGTAAAGCTTAATTGAACAAGCTGAGGATAGAAGCTGATTGGCTACCATGCACAGGTGAACGAGATTCTGAGTGAGCCAGCTTTAGTAAATAAACCCCACTTTGTCCAACCCCTCCTTTCCCTGAAGTCAAAGGATAAATATTTTAGGCTTTAGGTTATTAAACCTACTCTTCCACCTTAGCAGCTGGTCTACATTTCGTTCTCCTGTTCAGGTAGTTTGCTATTCCATCTGTTTTCTTTATTGTGGATGATCGGTTGTCCTCCACCTTATTAGTTGTGATCCATCATTCTTTCAGCTAACTGATTCCCCCTAGTAGTGATTACCTGTCCAGGTCTTCCCATCAGTCATGGCAATTTCCATATTTGCTTTGACCCTTCTCCTTCTTCTTTGTTTTCATTCAGGAATTGATTTCTTCAGATACTCTTACAGTAAGACATCTAGATATGTTGGATGTCTCATTGACTATTGCTCATCCCTCAGCTGGGCTGATTTTGGTCATCTCAAATGTCTAAGAATTTACTACATTCCTGTGTACCTGTGATAAGAAAAAATGATTAAAGGCAAATAGGCTGCTCACTTTGCTTAATATAAGAAATTGTAAACAATGTAGCACTGAAAGCACTTTATAGCGCTTGTTATTCCCCGATGAAGCCACAAAGGTGGTGAAACATGTAGGTATTAGGATTTTTATGGGGAAGGAATGTTTTAGTTAGCAGAGGATGGAAAGAAAGAAAGAAAGAAAGAAATAAAGAAAGAAAAAGAAATAAAGAGAAAGAAAAGAAAGAAAGAAAGAGGAGAGAAAAGAAAGAAAGAGAAAGAAAAGAAAAAATATTAAGAATAGTGAAAATTTGGAGTCTATGCAGAGAAATTTTAGATGAGTTGAGACAAAGAATAAGAAGAAATTGAACAGAGATGGAAGAATAGGACATGTTGAAGGGAAATAAAGAGGACACAAATATTAACCACCTCCCGTCCGGCTGTTGTATATAAACGGGCCGGACGGTGGTGGAACTGTAGGGTCGGGTGGCCATTTATAAACGGCCTCCCGCACCCTGCTTGTGTGTGCTCCCTGGGACACAGTGAAACACCGGTACCTGGCCAATCAGTGATCACATGCAAAGTAATAAGCAAGATGTCACTTCTGACATCATTGCTTACTACGTGTGAAATCTGTGAATGATCACAGAGGTCACATGGACAAGGCTAGTCACAACAGGCTTGTACCATGTGACAAGCTGTGACCAATCACAGCTCACTCAGTAGTTCTCAATGGCTGCAAGAATGCAGAGAGTGAGAAAGAGAAATTATTGCTTTTACATCCTGTATGGGTGTAAAAGCAATCAGTGTAAAAAAAAAAATCTTCATCACCCCCACAAGTAGTACAGTGTCACCATGGTGACACTGTACTGCTAGGGTGACAGTATGTAAAAAAAAAATAAGAATAAAAAAATAAATAATAATATAAAACATGTAAATAAAAATGTAAAAAAAAATGTTTAAAAAATTATAATTTTTGGTTATAAACTAATTTGGTTTATTTATTTTTTTTACTAAAAAGATAACGGAATACATTTTGGCCAAGATTTATGATGAAATATTATTTATTTGCAAAATTTTATGAGAAAAACACTTTTTTCAACATTTTTGGACTTTTTCTTTTACATAGCAAAAAAAAATAAAAATCACAGCAGTGAATAAATACTACAAAAATAAAGTTTTATCTGTCTCAAAAAAAAAAAAAAAATGGTAAAAAATTCATATGGGTATACTGTTGTTATGACCGTGCAATTGTCATTCAAAGTGTGATAGCGCTGAAAGCTGAAAATTGCCCTGGACAGGAAGGGGGGTTAAAATAATAATATAAAAGTGTCGGACAGGAAGTGGTTAAGAGAGATCTTGAAGGGAAACATTAAGATGATTAGACTGAAAAACGTAATAAAGTAGAGAAGATTTTGAAGATAGAAGTTGTAAAGGTATGTGCATGGCAGAGTAACAAATAGCTGCATGAGACTCCAATAAGGAAAACATGGGTAAAGGAAAGATTCTAATATGACATCTGATCCTAAATGGAAAATATACACAATAATAAATTATTAAACATAGGTATTGTTGGAAAAAAGGGATTTTAGTTATACAAAAAAAATGTAGGTGCATGATGGTATAATAAAATAAAAAACACGCTTGTAAACAGATTCTAGTTAACAAATGATTACCGTTTTTAGGACCATACAAGACTTAATAGCATTGTTTGTAAACATTTGTCTTCTTGCTATGTTGGTCCGTGGGAGGAAATTAACAGAAAATCACTGGGAATGCTTTTGTTACATTTATCACGACAGAGTTTGAAACAACCCTGAAGCAAAGGGTAACCCCCGGAACTTTTTTTTCTGTGCTAAAAAATATAGGTCCCCCTATTCTTTAAATAAGAATTTTTGTTGTTTCTTTTTTTTCCCCAAGTAAATGATACTTTTTTTTGTGCATTTTAATTTAGAGGGTAGAAAACTATTTCATGCAACAAAAAAATTGGCCACTTGGTGTCATGTTCATTTATTAAAAAAGAAAAATGTGCTGCATTTTCAAGTTGAAGCTCAAATAAGGAGAAATCACTTTTAATATATATTTTTATAAAATATTATTTATTATTTTATTTATAATATATATATTTTAAAAAAAAAAAAATTTAAAAAGGCAAAAATTTGTTTGAAAAAAATTTAACATCCCAAATTGAGCATGCATAAAAAAACAATTTACATCCCTATATTGCTTTTGTCCTGATGTAAAAAAAATCCCCCTTCTTTCAGGGAAAGATTTTAATTATAAGTTATCTGCTGATGACTGGCACTGTGACATATTAAAACAAGATAGTATCCATCGATCCCATCTTTAAGGATGAGTGTGTGTTTTTTGTGTGTATATGAATCTCTCTCTATATTATGAGAGTATATGTAATTATGTATTGTTATTTTTAATATATTTTATATATATATTTATTATACACCACACATATACATCACACACAACCTTTTTTTTCCCATTTAAAACCTTAATATTATTTAATATTTTATAGATAAGTATTTTATTTATTTTTTCTAAGGTTGGCTATTAAACAAATTCGAAGACAAAAATCTACTTTAATTTAACATTGGGAATAAAAGATTTTAAAAAATTGCTGAAACAGTTAATGTAAACGGTAACATCTCAACAATTGTTTTGTAAAAAACTGTATCAGGCCGGCATCACGCTTGGCATTCTGGGAACTCTAGCAGGAGATGTGTGTGTTTCCGGATATGCATGAAAAATGCCCTAAAGCAATCATCGTGCTTGCGGTGCCATTATTTATATTGCACTCCAAACACGTGGAAAAGCGTGATTGCAAAATTGCATTTGGCTCACTGGCAATAAAGGTCGTGGCTATTTTGATGCATTTGGTTTGGCCCTTCAGTAATAGGCTTGCTTTTTGCAGTTGCG